GTGAGCTTGTGTCACCGAGATTTTTTTACACATTAAGAGAAAATAATGGCTGTTTTAAGAGCCAATGTTGGTTTCGCTTAAACCACAAAACAGGGAAGCAGAGATCTCCAAAACCAACAGTGCGGGTGAGGGCCCTATCACCACGGCCTGCCTCCCACCCACGCCACCCCACCAGTCCAGTCTCCTAGAGAAACCTGCTATTCCTCTCCTCCAGCAGGCCCAAGGACACAGAAACACATTCAGCCCTCAGTTCTCCCAGCATCTGCTCTCTTGCCCCAGAACTCCCCATACCTACTGTGCCTCTTACTGTTTTCTCTGCCAAGGAACAGAATACGTGTGTGTCCTTGAGGAAAGAAGATTGGGTGTGAGTAAAACCATCTTCCAAATTACTTCTCTGGCTCCATTTGGCCATCATGGAGTTGGGGAACAATCAAAGCAAAGAGTCCTAGGCCCATCCTACAGCATGTTCCTAAGATGAGCCCTGTATCAATCAGTTACTGCTGAGTAACAACTGAAAATCTTGTTTTTTTAAATTATTTAATTTATTTTTATTTTGTATGTATGAGTGTCTTGCTACATGTATGTAAGTGCACCCATGCATGTGTGATGCTCATAGAGGCCAGAAGATGGCATCAGATCCCCTGGAGTTACAGATGGTTGTTAGCCATCATGTGTGTGCTGGGAACTGAACCTGGGTCCTCTGCAAGAGCATTAACCATTGAGCAATCTCCCCAGTCCCTACAACTGCAAATCTTTGTGGCAAACAATAATGAATATTGATTTTTTGATTATGCAACTACACAGACACCAGAGCTCCCAGGCGGGCTCTGGCTGTAGTTTGAGATCAGGCCTGTTCTACACTCCTTCCTTCTGGCCCCGCAAGCTCTGCCAAGGCCTGACTTGGCACTCACACAGTCTAACACTAATGACTGGTTTGTGGAGCAGACTCCAGCTGAACCTGCTACCCCACTCCACTGGCTGCCTGCTTCTGCCCCCATAGGTGTTCATGTTCCTAGTGAGCATCACACAGAGCTGCCAGCACAGAGGAAGACAGAGAGCATCGAGGCTGTTCTAGAACAGTCCTCTTGTCTCCAGCTTCCATCACTGATGTGGTTCAAGCAGCTGTACATTTTCGTTTGTGAAGGTTGTTGACTCATTTTTATTTCATTCTCCTATTAGTTGTTAACTCCAAAACTAGCAGAAAATACCACTAAGCACCAGGATGCAAAATGGTTTGCTAAGTCAGATGGATGCAACACTCCAAAGCCAATTCTGCCATTCCCTATCTGAGGGAACTGATTTAAACTCAGACCCAGATTCTTCATCTGCAACAGGGGAAGGGGGACACAGAACCAGTTTTGGGTTCCCGCAGCCCCCACTGTCTCTGTGACACAGTCTGATAGCATCAGCCACATCTCTGTACCCAAGGGCCTTCCCAAGACACACACACATATTCATGCACATATACACACATATACATTCATACACATATATTATATATATGTACCTACACACACACCTACATGCACACATAAACACACAGTAACACGCATATACATACAAACATGTGTATATTCACACACATTTACACACAGACACCAACATACAGATGCACATACATAAACATGCATGCACACTTACATATACATACACAGACACACAGGCATAAACATACAAGACATACAAACACAGGAATGGGGAGTCAGGATACAATGCTGTGTCCATGAATGTGTCAGACCAGGTAAGTCGGATGTGTGTGCTATGCTGTCAGCCCCCAGGCAGAGGACTCCCCAGTGGCCCATGATGGCAGTTTTCTGGGTAGTACGCTACATGGGAAACCTTCCTTTTTCTTCCTCTCACCCCACAGCTCCATTTGTGTCTTCTGGAACAACTTTGATTTTTTGTTTATTTATTGAGACAGGATTTCTCTATGTAGCACTGGCCGGCCTGGAACTTGCTATATAGACTAGGCTGGCCTCAAAGTTACAGAGATCCACCTGCCTCTGCCTCCTGAGTGTTGGGATTAAAGGCATGTGCCACCACACCCAGCCTGGAATAACTTTTAAAATAAATTCATAAAATAATGAAAAAGGGCTGGAGAAATGGCTCAGCTGTAAAGGTGCTTGCTGCCAAGTCTGACGACCCAAGTTCAATCCCCAGGATAAGTAGAATATGGAACTGACTCTTATATGCCCACACATACAAACATACATATGCACCCAAAACAAATTAAAATGTAACAATTTTTTTTTTGTCTTTTTGAGACAGGGTCTCCCTGTAGCCTCAGCTGACCTGGAACTCACTATATAGACCAGGCTGGACTTGAACTCACAGAGATCTGCCTGCTTCTGCCTCCCAAGCACTGGGATTAAAGACATGCGCCACCATGCCCAACCATAACAAAAATTTTAAGTAATAAATTAAAAACAAGCTGGACATGGGGGTGCATGTCTTAATCCCATGAAGGTAGAGACAGGTGGATCACTAAGATCAAGATGAGCCTGGAATGGTCTGCATAGTGATATCTAGGCCAGCTAGGGCTACATAGTGAGACCCTGTCTCAAAAAACTAAAACAAAATAAACTATTCATGGGGCTAGAGAGATGGCTCAGCAGTTAAAAGCATTTGCTGCTCCAGCTGACATAGAACCCAGGTTTGGTTTCCAGCATTCACATGGCAGCTAACAACCATCCATAACTGTAGTTCCAGGGGATCCAACACTCTTTTCTGGCCTCCACAGTTATTGCATAACAGAAGTGCACTTAAATACATGCAGGCAAAACACTCATACACATAAAATTTAAAATTTTTAATTATTAATATTAATAAAATAGAATAAACTACTCACTCATAATCAAACCCAAGTGGGGGTAAAATCTATTTGGGGTATTATAGTTCTAAATGAGAAACTCTACAAAGTCCCCAGACTGACACACATCAATGACTATTAAGTAAAAAGTAAGTTAGAAGAGTGACCCAAGTTGGGTACAGGGACAGGATGGACATAGCATGGGGCTGTCTTTTTTCTCTCTGGAGCTTAGGTGGTACATGGAGGAGTCGCTGGGGCAACAATAGATCTCTGTGGTAACACATCTTTCACTCCTACTGCATGGTTGGCTTAGGCTCAGCAAGTCCTGCCTCCATACCCCTACTGGTTCCTCACTGTCCCCAGCCAGAAGGCTACCCAGTGAGCCATTCCAAGAAGAAAGGAGAAGTGTGCTGGGCAGTAGAAGGGGCTGACACACATGCATATCTCCAACTACCCTGCTCCTTGACACCCCCTTTTTGACACAGGGCCTCATATATTCCAGGCTGACTTCGAGGATCATATCTTATGGCTGTGTGCATGCACGCACTCTGCCAACTGAGCTGCATCACCAGTTATATGACCATCTTTTAAAAAATATTTTATTTTTATCCTATGTGTATGAGTCTTTTGCTTGCATGTACATGCACCTGTGTTACACAATGTCCACAGAGGCCAGAAGAGGGTGTTGGATCCCCTGGAATAGAGTTACGGGTGGTTGGTTGCCATGTGGGTGCTGGGAACTGAACCCAGGTCCTCTGCAAAAGAAGCCAGATGAAATGTCTCTTCTTATTAGGATAATATGGGCATAAACAGGGCCAGAGTTCAAGCTCCCCACATGGTCCAGCCAGAAGTCACTGAGAAGACCACTATGAAGGTGACTCATCCTCACAGGACAGAGTCTGTGCCTCCTGTTGGGTCCTCACTGATTCCTATGTGAAGGAAACTATGTGTTCCTATGGAACACCCTGCTTAGGTCCCAAATATGTCCTAGAGTCTCCTCCATGAGGAAAAAAATGTAATATCTGGGCAGTGTTCCTCAGAACCCTCTTTGATGGCCACAAACTTGAAACCTGGGAAAGCCCAGGGGAGTACAAGGCAGTGTGGGCCCAGGCCAGTAAGGCTTTGGTTCAAAGAAATAACCAAAGAGCCTGCACTTAGAGAGGGAGGAGGCTCCAGCTCACCAGAACTAGGCTAGGAAAATGTGGGCATGCAGACCATCGAAATGAAGAATGCTTAAAGCTAAATAGTGACCAACTCAATTGTGCCTGAGCATTTGAAGTTCTAGGCAGGGTGCTACAGAAGATACATTTTCATTTCAAAACCCTGCGTGTGCCCACTTTGAACCACACAGCATAGCCCACATAGCTCACAGGTCCCAGAAGAGTGACCTCTAAGGAAGATCTGAACTGAACCTATGTGTAGCCAGAGCCTTGGTCTATGTGGAATTGTACAAGTGAAAAAAAAAGCAGTGTTTATTATTGTTCAGCATGAGGATGCACAGCTATTACTCAGTGATAGCTGATCACTATAGAGAGTCCTTCAATTGCACTGAACATGCCCCTAATCACTGGCCTCTCTCTGGTGCCAGGAGCACAGGAGGACAGTCAGAGCACGGATGTCATCAGATGACTGAGCGAGTGGGGCAGGGTGTTCAGTTTCTGCCACACTGTTGTTTTGGGGATGCTGGATCTTCTCCCCTCCCTGCCTAGGAAATCTAGACACAGCCAGGAGCTATGTAGACATCCAGCGATCATCCTGGAGCTATAGCAGGGCTATGGAGACCACCTGGACCAGTTCTTGACCTTTCTAATGAAGCAACAGAAGTCCAGAGAGGGACGCTAAGTTTCCTGGGCCTTACAACATCTGGCAGTGCCAGGAACCTGAGGATACTGAGTACAGTTGGATCTCTTGATTGAACCCTGTCTCTGAGCCTTCTTAAAGAACACCATGGGCTCTGTGGTAGGAATGGGCAGGGCTGGGCAGGGTCTGAAACCACTGTCCCTTCTGCAATTGTCTCTTCACTGGACATAACTTTGGCACAAAAGTCAATCTGGGAGCAAATAACACTGTGCTCACATCAGTGTGTGGACAGCTTAGGGGAGTGTTCAGGTGGTGGTGGGGAGAGAGGGGCTGGAGGTTGTTGAAGTTACTGGGGGAAGAAAGGGCTGAGGGAGACTCAATCCACACTCACCTTCGTAGCAGGGGATCAGCACCTTGCCTTTGGCCTGGAGGTTGGACGGGATGAGGTAGCAGAACCCGTGGGGCAGGATGTGATCCGTTTCATAGTAAATGTTCTTCCAGCGATGGGCACAGGCCTAAAGGGACAGACAGGGGGTGAGCACAGGAAGTTGGGCCCCAAGACCTGCAGTGCCAGAAGGTTCTATGGGAGCAGAGAGGAACCGAGTGGGCAGGACACCAACTTCTTTTATGTTCAACCTTCATACCAAGGTCCAAAAATAGCATGAAGGAGGAAAAATCCCCTGGGAGGAGGCAGAGACACAGTAGACCAACAATGGCTGTCATAGTTGGTACTGAGAACAGGAGTGCAAAGAAAGATACTTGGGGTAGAGATTCTCTGAGCAGGAGAAGTAGTTTCCAGGTTGGAGGGCCTGACAGCACCCTCCACACTGAGCTTTAGGAAAGAAGTTTCCAGAAAAAGAAACATTGGGCACAAAGAACACACTGTGAGATGTGCTTGGAGATCCAAGGGAAAGAAAGAAGGTGAGTGAGGAGGGTTTGGAGTGGCTATGGTAGGAAAAGGAGGAAGAGGTCAGAGAAGGAGCCGTCAGAGCAGGATGTTTTGTGGACACCATTAGTATCTGTGGTTTCAGGGGCTGTGTAACAGCAATCATGGTATGACTTCCCACGGGTGTGTAGTATGAGTCTATGTACCGTTTGAAAGGTTCCCTCAGCTGTCACGCAGAGAATACAGGTGGGCGGGATAGGAAGTGGACATCCCAGGGAAAAATGCTACTGGCCTGGACCAGGATGGGCCATGGAGAAGAAAGAAGGGGATAGGAGGGCTAACGGGATGGAGGAAGGACAAGGTGAAGAGACAGCAAGAAAGGGAGGAACTACCCATGTTGCACTGTGGTTTTACCTTCAGAGACACTCAGTATGCATCTCCTTACACAGAATTCATTGCTTGCTGATGGCTCTACTATTGGAATAAATCAACACACACATCTCAAAAGGACCCTCAACAAGCTTTGACAAATGTGTACAGTCCTGTCACCAGCCCCCTAGCAAGATAGTTCCCCAGCACCAGGGAGTAGTTGCCTTTGACAGGCTGGTCAGAGGAGGCTCTGAGAGGAGGGAGAGGCAAGGAAGGAAGGTTTAAGATGGAGGATCCTAGAGTGAGTGAGAGTGTTGTCAGCTTTTGGGAGCAGCTTTTCAGTCCTGGGGTCAAACGTCTAAGGAGATCCTGATCCAGCCAGTTCCTAGACTCTGATCCAGGGGCCACCAGTCAGAGTGCAGCCCTGACTCATCTTGCCTGACAGTACACACCCCTGCTTCATGCTTGGATGTGACCACCGGTCCCAGTTTGGTGTGTGACTGTCTACATACCCATCTGCCACTGTGCTAATGAGGAAGGTACCGCCTCGCTCAGAGGGCATGCACTGGCTCCCTCTTCTGAGCATGTACTGTTCCCTTCTAATATCAGCTCCCCTCATTTTGTTCAATGTATGAAGTTTCTTAAAATAATGAGCTTTAAAATAATCAGAGATTTTAACATCTTTCTTGTTTCCTTTATTGTACTGTGTACATGTGTGTTTGTGTGTGTACATGCATGTGCACATATGTATGGAGGCCAGAGCTGAACCTCAGGTTTTGTTCCTCAGAATGCCTTCTGTCTTGTTTTTGAGACTAGGTCTCTCTCTTTTACCTGGAATATGCTGATTCAGCTAGAGGGAGATGAATAAGTCCTGGGGATCCACCTGTCTCTGCCCCCTCAATCTGGGGATTGCAAGGGTATGCCACCATGACAGGCTTTCTCACATGGGTTCAAATGATTGAATTCAAGTCCTTGGCTTACATAGCAGGCACTTAATTAACTGAGTCATCTCTTCACTCTGTTTGTTTCCTGTACACACATAGTTTCAATGGCTCATAACATCGAGCATGCTGTGGTCCACTTTTGACTTCTACAGCCTCAGAAGGCAGATGGAAGGCCTCTCTAGAATTCTGACTTTGTGTTTTGATTTTGGTTTAAATTTATGTCATAACTGTGTGTATCCACGTACATGATGTGAAGGAGGATGCCACCAAAGGGATGTGGAGGTCAAAGGACAATTTGTGAAGTCAGTTCTCTCCTTCTGCCTTTCCGTGGGATCTGGGGATTGAACTCAGGTCGTCGGGCTTTGGTGACAAGGCTTTCACACCCTGAGCCATCTCACCGGCCCAGAACTCTCATTTGCTTTGTGGGTACACTAAGTAGCAGAGAGTTTGGTTGAGCAACACAGTAACACAGTAAATGCTGTGAACAGAACTGGTATATGTGGTTTCTGAATTCCATCTCACTCACTATAAAACATTTTCCATCCGAAGATTCCTAATTCCTGCCTGAGAAGCATATCTGTTTGATGACGTTATTCCAGTCCTTCCCCCAACCCTGGAACCTCGTTGGAATGGAACACCCAAGGGCCCCGGGTGCTGGCGTTTCCTTGCTCATTCTATGATAAGATCACTGTCTTCCATTCTCTGCTCTTCTTCCCTTTCAGCAAACTGTCACCAGGGCCCTTGATAAGCCACTCTGCCCAGAAGCAAAAGAGGGTACATTCAGCATGACTCTGGAGACCTGAGCTTGCCACACTCTGTACCATGTCTGAGTCATTAAATTATAGAAATCAATCAAAGCTGAGCATGGTGGCGCACGCCTTTAATCCCAGAACTTGGGAGGGAGAGACAGGTGGGTCTCTGTGAAATCAAGTTCAGCCTGGTCTACATAGCAAGTTCCTGGTCAGCTGGGGTTACAGGGATGCCCTGTTTTTTTAAAAAAGTAATCAATCAATTGATGGTTACTCCTATTGAAAATCACCATTCCTCCCTACTTGGTACTTGTTTTGTGCTAAAAGATATATTTCTTAACAGGTGGAAACAGCAGTATTCAGGAAGAAAAAAGAAAGATCACAAAGCAGATACTTACTCCATACTCACACACAGAGGCTTCCCTCATATCCATGGGGGAGGGGGATAGATCATAGACCTTCCATAGACACTGATACTATAGATACTCAAAACCCTTATATAAAATACTGTCTTTGGCATTCAGCCCACATAAATTCTCCTACATACTTTGTGTGTGTGTGTGTGTGTGTGTGTGTGTGTGTGTGTCTGTGGTGTATGTGTGTGTTGTACAGGGAAGGGGAATTCCCACAAGCAGAGGCCAAAGAAGGATGTCAGGTGTCTTCCTCTGTCACGCCTCACTACTGCCTTGAGTCAGGGTCTCTCACTGTGGGAGTTTTGGGCAGACTGGCTAGCCAACAAGGTCCTAGGATCTGCCTGCCTCCCTACCCCCAATGTGAGGTTACAGGCACACACAGCCATATACAGTTTTATACATGGGTTCTGGAGGTTAGAACTCAGGTCCTGGTACTTACAGAGCAAGAGCTCTTACTCACTGAGCCATCTCCCCAGCCCCCTCCTCTATAGTTTAAATCATCTCTAGATTACTTATAATGATACAATGCAAACACTACAGAAATTGTTATTATTCTATACTCTTTAGGGAACAGCGAAAAGGAAAAGGTCTGCTCATGTTTAAGACATATGTGGGTTTTGAAAAATTACTTTGATGCACAGTTAGTTGAATCCAAAGATACCAAATCCACAAGTACAGAGCCCATGGACAGGAAGGATCAAATCCATGGTCACAGAACCCATGGACAGGAAGGGCCAACTAATTTATTTTTTAATTTTGGGTTCTCCCTCAGTTCTGTGACTTGCAAACTTGAATCTCTTTTATCATCTAGTTCAGGGGTAAATGAGCTGTATTCTGGGTTAGACTCAGCCCATGTCTTGGAGGGCTTCTGTTTCCTATTGGGTTCTGGGTTGGAATGGCCAGTGTTTATCACAGTGTGGTCTGGAGGCAGCTGTACAGTTGGACAGCGTCATTCCAGTGATAGTGCATTGTCTGCTTTCTGTCCCATAAATTGTTTAGAAGTGACCTTTGAGAATTCCTAGGAGACCCAAATACTACGTTTTACACTAATCTAAAATTACAACAGTCTGGAAGGAAGAGATCAAAGTTTCAAAGGCAACCTCCACACAGGAAAACAGAAAGGGACTCTGAACATAAATCACAAAAAGAAAACACCATGCTTAGCTTGATTATCTCACATACAGCCGTCAATCTGACCACTAGCTACATTTTTTTAAAGTATAAAATAAGTATAAGATTCTGTCAGGCATGGTGGTGCACACCTTTAATCCCAGCACTTGGGAGGAGGAGGTAGGCAAATGTCTGTGAGATTGAGTCAGCCAGGTCTACATAGTGAGTTACAGGCCAGTTGTGGCCACAGGGAAACCCTGTCTCAAAAAGACCAAAAGAAAAAGAAGGAGGAGGAGGAGGAGGAGGAGGAGGAGCAGGAGCAGACAAGGAGGAAGAAGAAGAAGAGGAGGAACTGTTTGCAAAGTATCATGATTCAGTCTCTGGAGTTGTGAGGGGAAAAGAGAGCAGAACAGGGAAGAACAGGAAAAAGGGAGAATTCTCTGGAAGCAGCAAGATTTGTTCTAGGCTGGAAGAGTAGCTCAGTGGTAGAGTGTGTGCTTAGGAGCACGCACAAGTCCCTGAGTTTGAGAAGGAGGAAAAAGAGGAAGAGGAAGAAAGAGGAGGAGGAGGAGGAGAAGACAAAGGTGGTAGAGGAGGTAATAACTTATTTAAACTCAGCTTCCAAGGGCTGGAGAGATGACTCAGTGGTTAAGAGCACTGGCTGCTGTTGCAGAGGACCCAGGTTCAATTCCCAGCACCCACATGGTGGCTAGCAACTGTATGCAACTCTAGTTCCAGGGAATCTGACACCCTCTTCTGGTCTCTGTAGGCATTGCATGACAGAGGTATACTTACATACATGCATACACTCATACACATAAAATAAATAAATATTTTTAAAACTATTAAATTCTGCTTTCAAATCACCCTGGGGAAAGGAGCTGAAGACATACCATCACCCCAAATCTTAGAACACAACATATCTCAAGTTAGAATACAAAGGTGGTTTTTCATGACCAGTTTCCTTCAAGGCCCTTTATGTTGTGTGAGTACTTCATGTCCTTCCTGGAGGGGTCTGCGTTCGTGGGTTTGGTCCTTCCTATCCATGGATTCTGTATCAGATTGTTGGTCCTTGCTTGCCCTCCCACTCCTGCATCTGCCACGCACAGATGAACAAGTCTTCGTCAAGATTCCAGGTCCATGGCGCACAATCAAGTCACGCCCTGGCCAGTGAGACCATGGGGGGCAAGATCAAAGTGAGGCTGGGATGCCACAAAACTCCCCCCTGAGAAGCTCCCCCACTCAGGAGGCAGTGGTGACTGAGGAGGGAGCTCCTGGAGTGGTGGATGCAGGGAATGGTGCTTGGCAGATGTGCACTTAAAACTCATAGGGGTGTATTCTGATGACTTACACACTTTTTTGCATGTGTTAGGACTCAGTGAAGGGCTCACTCACACATGCACACAGAATCCGGAAACAGCAACAGAAGTACTCATGGGAACAGCGCCTGTGGCTTTGAAGGAAATGCACACACGGGAAGTGGACAGCTGATAGGGAAAAAGCATTGATGTTCAGAAAGGAAAGAGTAGATTAGAGCTGGAGGGTGCTGCTTCCACCCAGAAATAATCTAGATGTTTAAACTGTTATCTGAGCCTTAGCAGCTCTGCTGAAATGGAGAAAAAAGACTGGAACACTCTGTGCTGGCCTCCCAGGTCAGGAAGAAGCAGTCAGTGCCTCGGCTGGGTTTGCCCAGTGGCTACTACAAGAACTACCCTTTCCCCCGCCTCTATTTAGGTTTTTATCTTTTTTCTTTGTGTATGTATGTGTGGTATATGGACATGTCCATGTGGGTATACACACATGTGCATGTGTGTGTGTGTGTGTGTGTGTGTGTGTGTGTGTGTGTGCTAAATGTAGGATGCCTTCCTCCATTGCTCACAAGCTTTATTTTTTCAAGGCAGAATCTCTCATGGAACCTGAAACTCACTGATTTGGCTAGGACCTCTCCAGCGCTGGGGTGATAGACATGTGCAGCTGTGCCCAGCTTCTACATGGATGCTAGTGATCTGAACTTGTGTCTTCACACTTGCATGGCAGTGAGTCATCTCCCAGCCCTTTTCTCCTATTTTTTAAAACATCATCTCAGCACTCCTGGAGTGCAGGACAGAGTAAGATGGAAGGAACTTGTCTCCAGTCCTGATGTGTGTTTGTTCTGGGGATCACGTGTTCCCTGGAGAAGGAAAAGGAGTTAGTTCTAGAGATCATTGCACAACAGTGTTTTCATGCATACTTCTGTGGCTGTTTCCTGACTGGGGATAGGAAGAGTCTTTTCGTTGAGTTGTACACACAGGTGAAAAGGTGCAAAGACCCTCATTGTGTGCAATACACCTAAAGGTCCAGGTGGTACGCCATCGTTACATATCGATTTTACTTCAACAGGACAAGAAGGCTGACAGCAGTGGATGCTCCTCCATGTCCATCCCCTTCTCCAGTGTGCATATGGGTGGTTCCTGAATGAGTGATGCAATGATGCAAGCATTGTGTAAGACATTGAAAATTAACTCAGTTAATGACAAAGGATTGTCCTCAGAGTCACTGTCTACAAATACTCAGCCCTGCCTTCTTGGTTTCCTGTGACAAACCTTCTCTATGTTTCTCACTGTTGCTTATGTCCCCAGAGATGGCCCTGTCTTATACCAACTGGCACAGTTATGAGTCTTTGTCTTGGCGCCTTGCAAACAAGTTCTCAGCCATATCAAGGTTCCCCACCCTAAGGAAAAGGCTCTTCACAGGAGTAGCCTCACTGTCTAGACTCAACGCCTGGAAAGCATCTCATGTCATGCTGCCCTCCTGCCTCCTGCCACCTCCTCTCTGCTGGTTCTGAGTCATGACTTCAGGCCACCTTTAGATTTATGCATGCTGAGTTTCTTCCCTCTCTTTCCCAAGAATAGCAGACAAGAGTTCTGGCCCTTTGAGGCTGAGTCACCCTGCAGGGTCAGGCCACCATGCCTAGAAGAATGTGATGGCTTGGCTAGTGTCCATAGCCTGCGGTGACGGGTTAAAGGACTGGAATCCAAGGCCAGAAGAGAGTGAGAGGGGCTTCAATGGGACTCCAGTGGTATCCAGTGGGGAGGCTCTGCTAAGCTGGCGATAGTGTCCAGCTGCTTTTCTCCCAGGGGGCCAATGAGGGGAAGATGCCTAAGTGTGCTGAGCAGAGTGGAGGAGATCAGCACAGAAGTGAGTTTCTCAGAGAGGGGACAGAAATATTTGGCCTGGATCCTCAAGAAAAAGCAGTCTCCCCTGGGATCAGACGTCCATAAAACCCTCAGCTTTACAGCTTGTGACCCAAAGAAAACCCCCAAGAAGCAGCAGCTGGACTTACTTTCCCTTCTTGACCTTGAGCTTTTCTAACACAAATCTTCCTATGGCTTTCCAGGAATCCCAACCATAGAGAACGCCTATAGAGTCAAAAGAGTGATCATCCCAGGGGTCGGAGGATTGGCTGGCTGGGAAAGGGCTCAAGAAGCCTGCAGGGTGCTGGGCATAGGGACCCCTGTGTACATGTGTGAGAAAGTCACCACGCTGTGAGCTATGCGTGCTTAAGTATCTTAACTCACATCACAACAGAAAAGTGTCAAAGAAAGGGGGAACATGAGTAATAACCCAGTCTCTATGTTGGTTAGAGGTTTTTGACACAAGATCTCCCTGTAGCTCTAGCTGGCCTGGACCCTGCTATATAGACCAGGCTGACCTCAATCTCACAAAGATCTGCCTGCCTCTACCTCCCAAGTGCTGGGATTAAAGGCATGCACTGCCATGCCCAGACATCTTTTTTTAATTATATTTATTTGAGTGGTGTATGTGTGTGTGTGTGTGTCCTATAAAAAGCAACCACAAGGTATAATAATGCAAAGCAACCTCAGGGGCAAAAGAAGTTGACTGGATAGAGACTCAGAGAACTTTCCAGGATGATGGGAATATTCTATATCACAGTCTTGGGGTGAGGTGTGCAACTGCCAAAATTCAAGCTACAACCTCAAGATTTGTGTATTTTATGTAAATTATACTCCCACCTGAAGACATACATAAAAATACTTACATAATAAGTGAAAGCAAACGTCTTTCTACATACATTCCTTCTCTCTTTCTTTCTTCCTGTCTCTCTTTCCTTTCTTTCTTTCTTTCTTTCTTTCTTTCTTTCTTTCTTTCTTTCTTTCTTTCTTTCTTTCTTTCTTTCCAATGCTTGGGGTGAACTCAGGACTTCACTGAGTTGCATCCTCAGCCCTATGTGCCATTTTTTCAGTAGCCACATCTCAATTTCTTGCATCACACATTGTTAACATTCATCATATGAGCTGGAAAGATGGCTCAGCAGTTAAGAGCACTGGCTGCTCTTGCAGAGGGCCCAGGTTCAGTTCCCAGCACCCACATGGTTGCTAACAACCATCTGTAACTCCAGTTCCAGGAGATCCAATGCCCTCTTCTGACCTCCTTGGGCATTGCACAATACAGGTGCATGCATATATACAGGCAATACACACATACACAAAATAAATAAAATAATATTTTAAAAACTTCATCATATAAAGAAAATGAAAAGTTCCAGGTGTGCCCAACCTTTTAATATTACAACATGACACTTCTCATATTTGAGAACCACACATTAGAATTATTTTTTTATTATTTTTATTTTATGTGTATTGCCTGCATGTATGTGAGTGCACCAGTGTCGTGCAATGCTGTGGAGGTCGGAGAGGGCTTCAGATTCCCCAGGAACTGGAGTTAAGGATGGTTCGTAGCTGCAATGTGGGTGCTGGGAATCAAACCTGGGTCCTCTGCAAGAGCAGTCAGTGCTCTTAACCACTGAGCCATCTCTCCAGCCTCTAGAATTATTCTTTTAATTTTAAGTAAGTTTACAGTTTTGCATTGACACATTCACAGGGATCCTCAGCTGCATTACAGCTGCAGGTGGTCTGCAGGCTACAGGTCAGAAACACCTAGAATCAGTAGAGCAAAGCAGACAACCTCAAGGCAATGCTCTGGCTGTTAGCCAGTTTTCCTCAAGGGTCAGTCCTTCATCATTAGGGTGCCACCCTGTCCCATGTCCCCCTCTCCCAAGGGGTCTTACCAGAACACGGCCATCTGCCTTGGGCTGCCGGGCCAGGCTGACTCCCATCCACTCTTCATCACGGTCTTCCCGGCAGGTCTTCCCACAGGGCGTGCCACGACTCCTCCCTGGAGAAAGAAGAGAAGTCAAGACTTGGGTTGAGGAGTGAAGCCGCCAGCTGCTTTTCAAAGGGTGGTTCTGGGCTCATATCTTTGTCCCCCTAAGGAAGAAAAGAACTTGTAACAAATGTCAACTCCATAGAAACTAGTGACAAAATGTAAATCAATGTCATCACAATGTTGCTGTTTAATTAAGCCATTTTCCCCCACAGGAAGACTCCCAGTGAAGGAAACAGTGTCTTAAGGAATGTTCTGAGGGAGTTCTTTGTGTTCTGACAACAAAAAGCTCACAGAGCAGATCACATTGGAATGGCTCTCTTCTTCTGCCTAAGAAAATCATGACAGTTCTTTGTGGGTTTTTTCATTCATTGTTTTGTTTTTTTGTGTATGTGTGTACATGTTTGTGTGTGTACATACATGTGGAGGTCAGAGGTTGATGTCAGCTATCTCAATTGCTCTCCACTTTATTTTTGAAACAGACTCTCACAGAACCTAGAGTTCACAGATTTGGCTAGATTGGCTGACCAGTGAGCCCCAGGGATCCTCTGTCTCTGCCTCTACAACACAAAAGTTATAGGCTCATACCATCTCGTGTGGCTTCTCACGTGGGTGCTGGGGATTGAACTCAGGTCTTCATGCTTGCAGAGGAGACACTTTGCTAAGAGAGCATCTCCCCGGTCCTCTTTGCTTATACATAGTGATAATGTGAAGACTGTTATGAGAAAGGACTTTGGAGAAAGCAAGGCCTTGATATTTTAGCCATATAGCTTTTCTTTATGGAGCACAGTTCTGTGTGCTCACCTCACCTAGGCCAGTCTTCTCAAAGCAATTCTTATGATGGAGGTATTTTGATCCTGATCTTACAGAGTGAGGGAAATGAGGCACAAGAAGCTATTGGGCAGTCTCAATATTTCCCAGCTGGGCTTTGAATCCAGATGCATCTAGTCCACTAGACCAGAGTGAGCATCAAAGCACATCTATCCAGTCCTATCTTTCCTCAAGACGCAAAATTGAAAGTTTAATTGAATGGTCTCCTACTGCATGCATCAAGAAAAATCCCAGCACCTTAACCTCTCCTGTGAGGCTCTGTTTGACCAGCAGCCTAACCAACCTCTTCTGCATCCACTCTCCCCTCACTAGTGACACTGTCTTCGTTATGTTTGGACTTGCCCTGATATACACGTAAGGTCCCCAGGGAGGCCTCACCAGACCCTCCAATCTAGAGCTGATCGAATACCCACCCTACCTCTGGCTTTCCTTCAGTCTGTGGTTGTTATTTTTAAATATTTTATTTATTATTTTTATTTTATGTGTATGAGTATATTGCCTGCATGTAGTAAAGTGCACCCATGTTGTGCAATGCCTGTGGAGGGCAGAAGAGGGCATTGAATTCCCCTGGAACTGGAGTTACAGATGGTTGTTAGCTGCCATGTGGGTACTGGGAATGGAGCCTGGGTCCTCTGCAAGAGCAGCCAGTGCTCTTAACTACTGAGCCATCGCTCTATCCCCTCTATGGATTATTTTAATGTCTCTACTGACTAATGATTTTCAGGGCCCAGGATGACAGGATCCTTGTTTCCTTTATTCACTAGCAAACCTCAGTGCCTAATAGGCTCTCAATAATGTCTGCAGGGGGGATGGGTGGATGGATGAATGGATGGATGGATGGATGGATGGATGGATGGATGGGTAGAGGAAGGAAGGGAAGGAGGGAGGGAGAGAGGGAGGGCAATTGGGAGGGAGAGAGAGAGAGTGATGGATGCGTGGCAGGTAGGTGAATGGTCAGCTATCCCAGATACAAAAAGAACAAAGTATAAAAATGCTGGTCCCATTTCCACTTTGACAGTCACATCCACCCACCTCGAGCCATGTCCAGTTCGGTGCATCTCCGGTCAGGGTTGGTGTGGACACGACACTTAAACACAGCTCCAGGGGACTTCACTGAAGGGCTGTATTTGGAATCTGCCTTGGGTGCACCCACAAGGACCCTGAGCATCAAGAAGAAAAGGCATGCTGTTACCAAGGTGTCAGAAAAGAAGAGATAGGTGGTAAAATCTTTGCCTAGGCAAGGGTGAGCCATCTGAGGGCTCTCAGGGGAACTCTACTATTTTACTGTGGTATATGTACTTGTATATACCCTGTCTCTACCTTTCCAAGCTAAAATTACAGGGCTGGTGGCCACATCCCCCCAAGCACTTACATAGGTTCTGGGGATCTCAAGTCTAGTCCTTATGCTTCTACAGCAAGTGCTTTAACCACTGAGACATCTCTCCAGCCCAACAATGGGAACCTTTAAAGATATCATTTACCTTATCTCCCTTCCTCCACTTACCCACAACAACACATACAGCACATAGATGTAGAGAGAAATTGGAGGTGGTGGAATAGCATGTGTATCCCACTGCAAAATACACAGAATAGTTCACGTACAGTCAGGGCAAGAATAGAGGTCCACAGTCCTCATTGTAACCTGCAAAGCTGCTAGAGGCTGGGTCTTCCCTGGTTATGGGCAAAGACCAAACATCCCACCAGGACGGAAGAATCCATCTGGGCCTGGGTGGGTACTAAACCTGGGGAGGATGACACTAAGTTTTTCTCCAGGAGTTACAAAATAAATCTGTCTTAGAGAAAGTGTGTGTGTCGCTTCTCAGGTACCATCCACCTTGTTTTTTGAGACAGGCTGTCTCATTGGCCTGGTGCTTACAGATCCAGTGAACCCAGAGGATCTACCTGTCTCTACCTCCCCAGTGCTAGGATTACAAGTACACAGCACCATGCCCTGTACTGAGGTCTTCATAGTTACAGGCAAGCTCTTTATCAACTGAGCCATCATCCAAGCCCCTGCCCTAGAGTGTTATGCACTGTTTCTAGAAAGTAGCAACCTGAAGACCTACAGTAGAGAAAACCAAATAAGGACAATTAGGTACAGTGTGCACTGAATAGTGAGCCCCTTGGAAAAGGTCTTGCACAAGGACACTTCGAACAAGATCCACACTTTGCTCAAATTGCTGCCCCTGCCCAATCAGAACTTGAGCTGTTCCCTGTCTGTAAGAGCCAGAAAGAGGATGGAGCTGATGGCCCCAGGACCATTGGATGTATTAGATGCTTGTCACCTTCCATAGTCCCTGGGATAGAATGCACCTGCTACAAGGTTTCTCTGGGAAAGCAGAGGTTATATATAGCATGGTTCTCAACAGTCTTTCTGGGGATGCAGAACGCTGTCCCCAAGGTTCCCCTTATTCTGTCCTAGGAGCCACCCTCATCTTGGGATCTCATTCATCCAGTCACCCCCACCCCACTCATGCCTCACAATGTCATTTTCCCCACCCATGCTCTGCCTGAGCAGAGAAATTGGCTAACAAAGCTACCTTATCATACCCTCAGGGGTCTGAAACAAAGGCTCATGGACACTGTCACTAACCTGACTCAGAGGTCCAGGGTCAGGACCCATGGGAAGGCATAGATATTCCATTCTCTTTATTAAAAAATTATTATTTTATGTGTATGAATATATTGTCTGCATGCATGTTAGTATGCCTGTGTCATGCAGTGTCCATGGAGGTAAGAAGAGGGTGTCAGATGCCCTGGAACTGGAGTTACAGATGGTTGCTACCCATCATGTGGGTGCTGGGAACCAAACCTTGGTCCTCTGCAAGAGCAACCAGTGTTCTTAAATGATGAACCACCTCTCCAGCCCCTTTAAAAAATATTTTATGTTTTTATGTGTGTGTGTTATGCCTGCATGTCTGTAAATGCACCTGTGTCATGCAATGTCTGTGGAGACCAGAAGAGGGCATCAAGTTCCCTGGAACTGGCATTATGGATGGTTGTTAGCTGCCATATGGGTACTGGGAACCAAACCTGGGTCCTTTGTAAGAGCAGCCAGTGCTCTTAACCACTAAGCCATCCCTCCAGTCCCTAGGTATTCCATCTTAATTCCTGCCCCTAGAACCTGGTGGATCCCTGGGGACCCCAGGAGATTCCCCCATCCCTACAAAGGAGCATCTCTCCTGGGGCCAGTCATGAAAGGTATCTATTTGCTTCTACGAGGATGTCTTACAGGTTGGGGGTGGTGGTGAGAAGAGTCAGGACCCCAGCAGTGAGGATCAGTCCCCAGCAGCCCTGTCCCTCTGCAGGATCTTGGCCAGAATAGCTCATACTCCTCCAGCCTCACCATGGTGGGCCCCAGGTGCAGCATTCCTCAACAGAAGCACTGTGCTTAGTGAAGGTTAAGAAAGCTCTTTCCCAGGCAGGCCACACTCATTGCCTGGCTCAGCCATGCAAGGGCGGTTTGGCTGGCCCTTGGCTGCTCTAATTCACATGCATAATGACAGAATAAAATCCAAGAAGAAAGCCACACTAAGAGATCAATTTCTCCCCTTTTCTCAGGGGCGGAGCCTGAGAGTCACTGGGGCAAGTGCAGGCGTCTTCTTAGAATGCCAGTTGTTTTCACAGGTGAAAAGAATTAGCGTATTGACAGCTTAAAACTGCTGAAGCGTCCGTCCACAGCCTGTCCTTGTCATGTCAAGCCCTAAGAGCCAGGGAGTCTAAATATACCTCAGCCACTGGAAAACCCCAGTGCCACGGGCCTGGGTCCAAAATCGCCCACAGACTCCAATTTCCCATCAGCACAGTGAACAACTGTCATTGTAATTCATTTTGTACTAGTGGCTGGGATGTAACTAAATAGTGAAGCAGCCTGCCTAGAATGTGTGAGGCCCTGGGTTCAAGCTCCAGGACCATAATGTCCCAAAAACAAAGTCACCATTGTATCCAACTGCCTTCTAAATACCTATCCTTATGATTCATCAGATAAGCTTCAGTGGGTAACAGTTAATAGAGATCCAAAATTGGTCAAAGAATGGAGAAGTGACTGGGGAGTGCTCAGCCTTAAATGGGACATCTGTATCACACTCCCAGTCTCCAAGGTGCAGGGAACATCTTACAAGAGGGGGCAGTAAGATTTAAGAGCCAGGGGGCAAAGAGGAGTGCTGTGAAATACTGTCATCTGGACATTGCATGCCATTGTACCCATGAACTCACAGCAGCTGTGATAGCCTGCATAAGACCTGTTCAAGATCAAGCCAGTCAATAGTATTGATAGAAGGGGAGGATCTCTCACACCCCAACCCATAGCTGAGGAGCTATTGACAGCTGCTAGCTACTGGGGAGGAAGAGTCAGTTTCTTCAAGGATGTGGCCTGCTGCCTATGTGTCAGTGGATGATCGTAAACCCATGCACATAAGGGCAGCACTAGACTCCAGTGGGTTATAAAGAAAAAAGAAAAAAGGAGAGAGCAGAGTGTGAAATTGGGGGGGTGGTGTGGGAAGGAGGGGTCTAGGAGAAGTAGGATGGGGGTAGTGAGGGTAGATAAGATCACAATACATTGTATGCAAGTATGAAATTCTCAAAGACTAAGTCATTTTTAAGTTACAATAAATAATAATGAAAATCCGACACCCACAAAAGTTGGAAAGTGGTTACAGGAAACAATAGGCTGAGGGTCTACTGTGTCCCTGAAATCAACAATGCAACCCTAGAAATGTCACGGGGTGCCGTTGCTCCTTCTTCAGAGATGTTCCTAGGTTGGAGAGGCAGGAAGGAACCTGGGGAACAGAATTCTCAGGTACTTGCTTCTCCCAGTCTAGAACAAGACGGAGGGGCAAAACGCTTTACAAAATCTAAAACAGAGAAGGGACCTGCTAGATTCTAAAGCTCTTCCAAACCTGAGGTACTCGACAGTTCTAACAAAAACAGCTGATTCAAACCCTGCTATCCCTCTGGTTCAAACTTCTAACTAGCTGGCCAGATGAGAAAGAGTCTCTTAATTTCTGAGATGGGAAACAACTTGTGAGATGATGAGATGTGTGTTCAAATATGCCCAACATGCACGGGGTGCACCCTGGAGACTGTGCTTGCCTCTGTGTTTTTATAAGACATCATGGCTTCTTTGGCAGCCCAGTGCTGGCTCTTTACTTAGGCTGTGGTCCAGCAAGATGGCTGCAACAGGCCAGGAACGTGGCTTTTCTGAATCTCATTCAGCTGGCTCCTGGCCAGACTGATCCTGAGAGACAGATTAGGAGAGCTCAGGGTTCAGGACCATACCCTGAAAAGATGCCATCTGGTTTTTTTTTTTTTTTTGGTTTTTCCTCTCATTGTCCTCTGGGATACAAATCAGTATCCCAATCACTTCAAACAACCCCACATCTCTGGTACCCCAAAGAAAACTGTATCTTTCCTCTGTATGGTTACCCTCTCAAAGGGCCTCTGTGTCCACAGCCACAGGCGTGGATCACATAAACCATCAAGCTGCTTTCCACCTCTGCTTGCTCCATCAAGTGTGGTCCTATAGTAGTGCCTATGGCAGCAACTAACATTATCCCCATTTTACAGCTGGGGGAATGCGGGTGACCAAGTCTGCTCCTGGAACTTGTCCCAGACCTCCCAATTGCCTAGCTGCAGCATGCACCAGCAATAGTGGGTCACCTACCCCTCTCCTGCTTAGCCCATGCCAACCAGAAATAAAGGAAAAGGAAAACAGTAGGTACCCACTGTCCCCTCTGCTGACAGCTGCTCACATGTGTGACTGTTCCCAAGGAAGCTGGAGGGAGGCTCTGTGGGCAGATCCAAAGTTAGAAACTGGCTTTGGAGTCCTGCAGCATTAAGACTTGGATTTGGGAGCAGGAAGAAGGCATTTCTCCTCCCCTCAGGCTCAAGGGACCCAAGAAGTGAATTCCAACCTCCCTCTTGGTTTTCCAAAACATTAACATTGCAAGCGGCATGCTAACCAAAGGCCAGCCTCCCCAAGTAAGTAGCTCATAAAGCTCTTTAGAAATATGCACCTGGCTGTTCCTTTGCCAGCAGAAGTGAGGATTACTAACACCACTCATTGCAAATCTGAGAAGACAGCTTCATGTGTGCATTCCACTCTGAGAGGCTGGGTTACATCAATGCAGCCAGTAGAGCTAGGCTCAGCGCTCAGGCCCAT